GCTGACTGTACTCCAAGTGTTCATCCCAGGCTGACTGGGCCTTGTTTGGCACTCAGGGCATCAGGCCTGCCATCGCAAGGAATCGCCATTCTGGGAGCATACTTGGGTTAAGTGTCCTGGTCTACTCCCCACCTGCTGGGAAAGTGGGCACTCCTTAGGCCAATTTCTGGCCAGGAAAGTGCCCCAGGGGTCAGGGCATCCAGGTAGTGCACTGTCCAAACGCTAAATGTGGTCTGTGGACCGGTAGTATCACCCTCACTGGGTACTGCAGAAGCTCAGGCCCCACCCATCCCACTGCATCAGAACCTGCATTTAAAAAGGTCACCTAGGGGACTTGTGCACCTTGCAGTTGGAGAAGCCCTGGCCCAATTTATAGAGTCTGAGTTTACCACTGCTAACTCATCCTGCCCTGTGTCTTCCAGCTTCATCTTCATCCTCTGTCAAATGGGAGGTGTTTCGGAGGTCCCCAGGGAACTCTTCAGCAACCCCTGAAACCACTTCAGACCAATGAAATGAACATGTCTAGTAGGTGGAGCCTGGCAGGAATGCAGGTGTACGTGTCCCCAGATGATTCTAATAGGAAGAGCTAGTATAGAAATAATCCCCTTTACAGATTAGTTGAGATTCGGCCTGGACTCTGTGCAAGACTGTGAGTACAGTGGTTAACACCCCAGGCTTTATAGTCAGATTCACTCTGGTCCCAGCGGACGTGGCCTTGATCCAGCTAATTAACCTTACCGTGCCTCAGTTTCCTTACCTGTAAAATGGAGTTGGTAATAATGCCTTACCAGTGTTTAGAATCAAATTCAATAAATCTTAGCTTATAAGGCCACATTCCTCAATCTCTCATTTTAAGCCAATGACAGCCTACTTATTTACCTCTCCCCTCCCCTGCCCCAAGCAGCCCTCTTCCAGGGCACGACGGCTTGGCTTGGCTTCAATATTCATGTCTATTTTTCAATATTTTAAATGTGAAAACTAATATTTTAAATCGCCTAGCCATTTAGTAAACCTGATCCTCTGTAAAGATCGATTTTTGCCACTTTCAGAAACACTAGCCAACTGTGCTTCTAGCTCTGTGGCTCACCATGGCAGCTACTGAATGAAAATACCTGGAGGGCTTGTTGGGACACAGATGGCAGAGCTCCACCCAGAGATGCTGATTCTGTGATTTTGTAGGACTGGAAAGGGGCCGAGCAATTGCATATCTAACAAGCCCCCAAGTAATGCTGATGCTTTGGGTCAGAGGGGACCACACTCTGCGAACCATCTGCCAGATGAATGGTTTGCTCTGAGCATGGTGGAAATCTCAACAGCGGTGCTGTCCATAGACATATACTGCAAACTACAATTGTAATTTTAAATATTCTGGTATCCACATTTTATTCTTAAAATTGTTCTTTATTTATTTTCTATTGAAAGATATTTGACATATAACCTTGTATAAATTTAAGGGGTACAGTATGTTAATTGGATACATTTATATATTATGATGTGACTGCAATTGTAGCAATAGTTAGCACTTCCATCACCTCATATAATTATCATTTCTTTTTTTTTTTGTGGTGGGAATAATTAAGATCTAGTCCCTTAGCAAGTTTAATGATTATGATACAATATTGTTATCTGTATATTGTGCACTAGATCTCAAGGACTTATTTATTGACTAGCTGAAAGTTTGGACCTCTAAACAATATCTTCCCTGGTAATCCACTTTACTCTCTGTTTTTGAGTCTGGTAGCCACATTTTATTTTATTTTATTTTTAAAAGATTTGCTTATTTATTTTAGAGACAGCAAGAGAGAAGAGCATGAGCAGGAGGGGCAGAAGGAGAGAGAGAGAGAATCTTAAGCAGACTCCACGCTGAGTGTGGAACCCAATGCGGGGCTTGATCCCACCACCCTGAGATCATGATCTGAGCTGAAACCAAGATTCAGATGCTTGACCTACTGTGCCATCCAGGTGCCTCCCACATTTTAAAAAGTAAAAAATAAAAGGGTAGAATTAATTTTAAGAACAGATTTTATTTAAAGGGGTATATCTAGAATTATCAATATTTCAACATTGAACCAATCACAAATAGTGATGAGCTACTTTGCATTTTGTATTAAATATAAATGTACTTTGTATTTTTGTATTAAATGTTTGAAATCTGGAGAGGAGTCTGATGCTGATGACATGTACTGTATTTGTTCTTTCAGTCATGTCATGGACAGGCCAAGAAGGCATTAAAAGTGATTTTGATAAGGGCCAAAAAATTGCAAAAAGTGAACGTTCTGGGAATCAAATATTTACGCCAATCACAAGGTACGGAACTATTTTAAAGAATCACAGGTTGGCATAGTTGGAAGGTGCTGCAGAGATTTTTTGCAGCCAAATTATTGTTCCAATGAAGAAACCTAGACCCAGGGGGATTAAGTGCTGGGCTACAGCTCCCCTGCTTCCA